AGATTTTGACAATATTTCATTACAAGCTTACCTGTAATTGCATAACGCATATCCTCAAATCGCTCTCGTTAAATTCGTAAGGAATATTCCATCCTAGTGGACCATATTGCCTTCGTTCTTGAATCATAGCATGAAAAAACACCAAACCGAATAATAATCTTTGCCAAGGACTTATCTGTAAATTAAGTAGACATACATTTTATAGACGGAGGATATTATGAAGAATAAAAAATGGATTACCAATGGACAGTTGTTGAAAAACGTCTCGTTAGATAGAGGATCAGTTGTGTAAGACCTTAACATATTTAGTCTCAATCCTTTCGGCGCTTCATTTGTCATTTTAACGCCTAAAATTTCGAACTAAATCAGTATTTCCATAATCATAATTTATTACTATAATGAAATTTAATTTAACAATTCACGATTTTTGTAACCAACTTGACTAATTAAATAAATAGTTAGTTAGCTACTTTTCCTATATTTGGAAGAATTTAGTTTATTCAAAATATTTGATATTAAAGATGAAAAATATGTTCTTTAAAGCAAAATTCATTTCTATTCATTCTTTAAAATTTCATTTACTTCAATTCAGAAGTCAGAATTAATTTCAATTTATTACCATTCTGTAATATGGAAACTGGAAATGCTTTGCTTGGGTAAGATGTTAACCACAGCCTAAATCTCGGATGGGCTGCCTCTGGTACGACAACATCAGCGCAAATTCGTTCCAAATCTCTCATCCAACTTTCTGCTAAATGGCAATTTTGCAAAAACTACCCAATGGCCTTCAGATAAACCCTTTGTTATCATGGAATATGCTATTGGCCCTTGCCCTTGTCCTGAAATCAAAAATAGTTTAAATATGTACGTTAGCAACTATAACTGTATTATATTACTGATATAAGTAATAGGGATGAAGCAAAAGATTTTTTTTTTGAATTATATTAAATAACTAGATATTATTATAATTTCAATCATTTATTGGTGGAATAGCATGACTAAAAGTTTACCTAATGAAATTGTCTGCAAAGCTTCCCCTTCGATTCCCATGTCTAAAGCAAATTTCATCAGCCCGGCCATTGGGTCTGATCCTGGACTCAACACAAACAATAAAGGAGTACTCGGACTACTGTCGTGGTATGAAGAAACTAAATCAAATACCGGAGGTTCGACGAATGATCTTCCCATATACTCCACTATAAAATTCTTTAAACAATTTTTTGTGTCATTTATTATAAAGTTTAATTATTTATGCGAAAAATATCAAAACTAATTTTGACATAAATAGCTTTTTGGGAATAAGGTTATCTGTAGAAATCTTTACCTGTACTGCTGGTACAATTTTATCAGGCCTGATACATCTTAGAGCCACCAGCCTAGCCAATCCTGGAAGATCGTGCATAGGTGCAGGAAATTGTACCTCATGAGGATTTGATAAATTGTAATATTGGTACCAAGCTTTCACATTTGTAGCAACGCTATTTCGATATGCGCCTAAACTGTGATGAAATAAAATACATTAACGTTAGCTTACACAAAATTTTCACAATATAGTTAATGTCATTAATATTATTTGAGATAGAAACTTTTGGACTTCAATGAAGAGAATGAATAATTTATCTGCTTTACATGCAATAGAACTTATTTAAAAACTCTCACTCTTGGTTTTACTTATGCTTTTAAATAATCAAACCGAATTATTGACAGCGCCTGCCTATACCGCGCAAATCACAGTACATATTCTAAATTTTATAACATGGCATAATATCATTCTTGTAGAAATATTAGTTCTTTAGTTAATTTGTAAACGACTTGGTCAAATCTTTCATAAACCATAATAGATATAAAACAATTACTGAGTTAAAGGCGTGGAGCGGACAATTTCTGACCAGGCTCTTTCAGTTAACCACTCTGGGCAGGCAGGTTTGGATATGGATTATCCAAGGCAACGCCGCCTGTGAGTAGAAATGCCCATAAATCTTCTTCCACTAAATTCTGAAATTAATAATTTAAAAAATTGCAATATTTTTTAATTAAATTTAATTTACCTTAGATCGCATAATGCCAACGCACAGCACAAAAGAAAACGTTAGTTTATCTTTTTCAAATAAACTTCTGCAGACATTTCGGTATATACTCATTGTAAAGTAGTTATTCAGGTAACTCAAACGTAATTCTAAAACTGAACTTTCTTCCGAGTTTGTGATAGCTTGATTGAATAAATGTAAGAACCATGTTAAAATATTGGTACATTGGATCAATGTTTGCCAAAACTGTCAGGCAAAAAAATAGATTTGCAGAATGGGTTGATACGGATGTGTATTGATTTCGAGCATAATCTATTTCTTTTTCAGTAACTGCTGCGATCTATAATAGATATGTTGCATAGTTATTTATATTTAACAAAAAATTAATTTAAAGAATTCAAACCTCTTGTTTTGCTTGAATTTCTTCAGATAATATTTTACTAGATGAAAAATTTTAATTGCTGTTTCATCTTCTAAAATATTGCCTTGAGACGTAGACAACACCTAAATAATCAATTTATTTTGAATCACGTTTATTAAACGACCAAAATTTAGAGTAAATCAAAAACCTTTAAAATCTGTTCCTCAATATTTTGTAGCATATCTTTATTTTGAACTGATTCGATAACTAGCTGAGTTTTCTTTGCTTGCAAATCTGGCCTTTCTCTAGCGACGACTGTGCCTAGTAATTGATCTTGTAGGCCTTGTTGAGTTATCATAAAATTCAGTAGAGTGACCTAGAATATTTTTATAGTTTGGCTAAGATTTTTGCAAAATATATAATAACAATGAATAAATAAATATAAAAAGTTGTTTGACGGATGAAATAAAGATATATTTTAAAGAAGGAGGCCATAGGTTTAAGAATGGGTGTATACCATGACTTGTGTTTCGGGTAAATAATGAGGATTTCTTAAATTTGTTGTGATATAAAATTTGAATGCGCTGTTATATTCAATAACTTGATCACCCAGCTTTAACATTGTTTGGGCCGCGCAGAACAAATACTGCTCGTTCTAAAACTGGACTCAAGGCAGCGTCTATTTCCTCCCTGTTGAAAAGAGTTGAAAATAATGAAAGAGACGTGAAAATTAAAATATTTATATATCACAATCATCACACTTCATTAGAATAAAACGTTTACCTATATTTTCAAGTAGAACAGGTTGACCCAGT